CATGAAAAAACGTTTTATTAGCTATATAATGCAACAACGAGATCGAATTTTTTGCCGGTAGCAACGTTATTCAATTTCCATCGTTATTTGATCGTGGACCGGGGGGTGGGATCGGGGGGATAATAAAAATTCTGTTCCATAGAGGGAAAAATGTGACCGTTGTCACAACATATTACCGTGAATCCAGAGCGATCCCCCTTTATTTCCATTTAATTTCGGCTTTTATTTAATTTTCACCGATGCAAACCACCGTGAGAATGGCATTTGCTCTCGAATATCGAACGATAATCCCTGGTTTCGTATATTCTTTTCATTATTTTCATTTGTATAGGATATTGTCGGGATTCGTTTTCATAGGTAGATGGGTTTTGTTTTTCCATAAACAGATTCTTCTTAGGAATTCTTCTTTTTTCTTTTTTAACGAAACTTTTTTAATTTAATCTCACTCCATCAAAGAGGTTAAGAGAAATTAAATTTTTTTTTGTTTTAAGTAACTAGTGTTTGGAATTGATTCGAACGATTTGGAAGATGAGCTTGGAATTAAAATTCTTTTACAAGATCTTTTGCACAAAATGAAATTTTCTTATTTTTGTAAAATAATAAAATTATAGTAACAATTTTTTTTCTTACCCTTTTATCGTTACTCGCCCAAAAAATTCGCCCAGCAATCCAATCTAACATTCTTTTCTCCTTTGTTTCAGATACTTTCCAGGCACTAATACAATACGCCGACATGCTGTCAGCGCAAACCGCCAAACTCGTGAGTATCCATTTTAACTTTTTCACCATAAACGTATACAAAAATTCTACCTACCTACCTCGAATTCCCCTTTTTTTCCCCTCCCCCTTTTTCTTCTTCGCTTCTCTGGAGAACTGGTGTTTCTCGTGCGGCCATTGTTTATCCCCATTCTCCCATGGGACAGATCGAAATTTTTCGTGGAAATACCAGAGAAAGTGTCGTCCATTAGAAAGTCCAGGTGCCGCGAGAGCGAATAATGTAAATTTTAATCTCTACCCCTTTTTTCCTCAAAAAAAAAAAAAAAAAGAAACGAAATATAATAATTTTTTTTAATTTTTTTAATATTCATAATTTTTTTTCTGTCGTTATATTTTTACTTTTTTCAATTCTCAACAATTGGCTTTTTATTTGGTTCCGAGTTAGAATTACGGGTATCATTCGTTTCGTATCTGGATCTTTGTATCTCTATCTCTCTCTTTCTTTTTTCTTTTTTTTTTTTTTCTCTTGTGAGATTAAGTAACCACAAATCTTCACAAGAAAGTAGGCAAAGTCGGACCAGTTTCAAAAACCACTTGGACTCGAAGAATCCGTCCGTGCCACAGGAACCACCGCCGCCACTACCCCTCTCCCCCTCCCTTCTTACCAAACCTCTATCCTCGCCACGATCTCTCTGGTCCGAAATTCTGTCGCGAGATTGTGCTCGTTAACGAACGTTAATTCGGCCACTCGAATAGAAATCCGCGGAAGCTCGGCCAACAGTCCACAGTTTCCTGTAATAAACATCCCCTTTCAAAATTAACTGCAACAGCTTACTCGATGCGGTTACTCTCGAGTTATATATATAGAGAGAGAGAAAGAAAAAGAGAGAGAGAGAGAGTGATCCAGGTCCAAAGCTCCGAATTTTTCGATCTTCCACTCCTTTTCTTTTTTTCTATCTTCGCTCGAATTCAGGTCAGACTTTTTTGAATTTCGGATAATTAATTCGTCCTGATTTTTTTCTGCTTTCGGGGAAAATTTCCATCGAGAAAGAAGTTTAAATGTATAGTAAAAATAAGCAAATGCGCTTAGTTTTTCGTTCATAAATACAGTCAATCTTTCCGTATAAATACGATTATTTCGTCGTCCCTGTTTTGAGAAATTTCGAACAAATCAATAGGATATCAGTGTGAATAAAAATAGTGTGATGGAAATGGATATTCGTGTTACATGATAATTATTCGCGTTTATTTATGAAATTGTCGCAATTTTTGCACCGTGTTCTATCAAAATCAAATGTTTTCAGTGTTAAAATTAAGATTATATATTAGTATTATATATTAGTAGTATATATTAGTATTACAGTATTGTATCATAGATTAAGATTATATATTGGTTTCATGGACGAGATGGTCCAATTAAATTTAGCAATATTATACGATCTCTTCTACCAATTTTTATTAATAAAGTTTTTTTTCATCGAACAACGGGAGATATTCCAAGTGTTAAATTTGATTTACAAGTCGCTCTGTATATTTGTGCGTTTAAAATAAGCTTGTTACGAACTCTTTACAAATTTTATTGTCGAAGGATTGAAAAAAAAAAAAGTTATATAATAATATTAACGTATCGATCGGGAAAATTCTTGGTCTTATTGTAAAAGAGGAAAGTTTATCGAGACATTTTTTTTTTTCTTTCCATTCCATACATTGGTTTTGAAAGAATCTTGATTCTCAGAGATACTTTAAGTGATTCGCAGACGAAACCCAACGACTTTTACTATTTTCCAACCTCTTATCCTCTGTTTTCCCCTCTGTTTTTTATCACTCTGTTTTTTCATGATAATCCTCTTAGATATAAGTCCCGATTCTATCAACGAGCTCGAACCGATCGAAGTTTATAGAATTCTAAAGTCAATCGAAGAAAAATGTTATTCTGTATAATTTTCCATTTTCTGTCGGTAGCTGGCCAGCTTTACTCTCTCCCATATAAATGGAACTTTATTATATCGACGTTTCAACTTGCTCTTTTAATCTATATCCAATCCAATTTATATCATCGATAAAAATCTGTGTCTTCGTAAAGAATTTCGAAAAAAATAAAGATCACAATTTTTATGATGTTCCTCATATTATTATTCCTCAAGTCTCGATCTTTTAAGGGCATCGACAAATTGCGCGACGCCATATTGAATTTTTTTATAGATCGATCGAAGCGCCACCGCGCGCGCCAAATTCAAATTAACGAAACAAATTCAAACAAACGAAAATCTCTCTTTTTCCTTTATTTGTTTCTTCTTTCCTAAAATCTACTTTTCCTAAAATACAAGCAAAGCCAACCAACTCATTATAAAGCCACTCAATTCCTTTCTAAACTCGCTTGTTCAAACAATTCGTGTTTGTCGAAACCAAGGAAGGCAGGGGTGGAAGGAGGAAATAAATAAATAGAAAGAAAAGAAAAAAAACTATCCAATTACTCTATTACCCTTCCAACATGATTCAACGAAATACAACGTTGTGCCACATTGACAAACAATCTCCCGTGCACACGAGCTAAACACACACGAGCCCCTGCAATCTTCCACGTCTCCACTCTCATACTCGGAAACATCAGCGTGCACTTAATCCAGCCACGGATATTATAATCCCGGTTGTTTGAACTCGCTCGCGGACCGTAAATATTAATTGAACGCAGCGAAATATGTTTCGCGGCAGGCAATTACATCACCGTCCGGGAGAAATGCAAATAATCGCGTTTGAAATTTCTACGGATATAAAATTGCAGAAAAAGGGGGACACGCGAACCCTCCGCCCGCGACTCGCGAATATTCTTCGTTCTTTATTCATGGAGTTTGTACTGATGGAATGTTCATAAATTGGTAAAAAAAATGTGAATCCAAAATTCATTTTGTTTTTCTATTTTATTTTATATAACACGACTAAATATATTGGGTAATAGGCAATTTTTACGATTAATCTTTTAAATTCGATAGAATTATATGTTTTCTTGTTTCTTCGTGAATATTGCGTTCTAAAAATTTGTAAAAATTTCTATTTTTGAGAAATTGTTAAGGAATTATTAAGGAATCGTTACTACGTTTTGTTATATTTTTTATTAAAAATTTTTTAAGTGCAATATGTTCTATATTCTACGTCACGTTGTTTATTCTTTTTGAGGAGGAGATAGTTTAAACTCGTTTGTATTATTATATTGTTTCTTTATGTTTTGATATTTTGATGTACACACGCACCAAGTATATAAATATTTTTTTCCAATCATGGAATATACATGCGGACAGTGAGTGGTTCGAGCAGTGACGTTAGATAAAAGTCGGAGCGAAATATTTTTCACTGTTTAACGAGCTCCATCGTTCTGTGACGCCGTTTTTTTTTTTCGCATACGCCTCGATACACTCTTTTTTTTTTTTTTAAATACAAACGCGCAATTTTTTTCGCATAGATTGATTTCATGAGCAAGTCAATAAAAGATATAAGCTGCCGGAGACTACTCATCCACGAGATATTTTTTCTTTTTTCAAAAATATTCTCTCGTTCCTTAATATTAACATTCCGAATTTATTTTTATATCCTTTATATCCTTTATTTTTAAAAATATTGTCTAGAATTCAACTTTTCTTCCACTCACAAAAATTCATCCTTCCTAAAAATTGAAATAATATTAAAATTAAAAATTATACAAATTCAAATTCCCTCAAAAATTTTTTTTACCTTCGTTGTTTCCTTTCTCTCCGTCCGATCTGAAAAAGAAAAAAAATCTTCGAACGAATGAACATTCTCTAAAATGCCATACGTTAATTTTGGTTAATCCCAGAAAGAAAGAATTAGCCGATTCTCATAAAATCGTGGCGTGGAGTTAATTAATTGGATGCACGGAACGGGAGAGGGGAGAGGGGAGGGGGTAAATTTCAAACTGATTAGCCGGTTGTAAGGGAAATCGGGCTGAAAAAATTCAATTGAAAAATATTCTGAAACTCTTGAACACGGAACGCGGAACGCGCATAATCCGAAACGCAATATTCCTCTCCGTCTCTTTTTGCCCTCTTCTCTTTTTTCTTTTTTCTTTTTTTTTCTTTCTTTTTTTTTTTTTTTTTTTTTTTTTTT